CAACCCACAGGCAGCTTACAGACTGCTCTGGAGAGCTCAGTGGTTACACCTTCTCCACAGCTCTGGGAACAAACTTCAAACACAATTAAATTTGAGCAGAAGAGAGAGTGGCTACACCTCCTCTGTCACTTTAGCAGAGAACTGCAGAACCTAGATGCAGTGTTTGCACCTGGAATGCTTTTGTATTTGCTCTGAACTGCATCAGTCAGAGGTACCAGGTTACTGAGCACAGAGCCGTGGAACAGCCATGCTCATGTCCTGCTGAGTCACCAGGAGGGGATGACGGATACAAACCAGCACTCTATAAAAACCCTTCTAACTCATTCCAATTCTGAGCAGGCTTATTATGAGAAAACTACTATTTCCAAGATCAGCTTTAACATGCAACAAGAATGAGTATTCAAATGAGTATTCAAATATAAATGGTAACAAGATAAAATCTATAAATACTTCCAAATTTCAAGTATGAAAGAACAGTTTGGGCTCAGAGAAATGTTTGTATATGTTTAAAAGGCAAGTACTTCAAGCTGAAATAATCTTGTTTAAAACTGAAGATAGTCTTGAAAGCAAGGCTGTAACTATAAAATAAGCCCATATTGATGCTAATTGAGTCTCATTTTTGGCAGAGGCTGTTCAGAAGGCTGATCCTGACCCACATCCTCTCCCCTTGTTCACGTCTGGTATCAGTCACTGCCAGTGCTCATTGTGATCCCAACTGTGCAACAAGGCCAGCTATGACCTATCTGATTTATCTCTGTCACAACTTGAGCTCTGTTCACCAGGAACGATGAAAGGCAACAATGTCTGAGGGACGTGGGCCTGGCAACATGGAGCACATGGCCTGGGTTTGCCTTGGTATGAAGAAAAAGCAGTCAGAGGGAAGCACATGTGTATCAGTACGTGTGGCAAAGACAGATAGTACACAACAATGGGGATCACTAACCCATTCATTACATGTTAGCTCTGTGATCAGCAAGTAAGCACTAACTATTTAATTAGTCAACTAATTAGCGACAGGCAACATGGAAGGCTTCAGATGTTCCCAGACAAATGCAAAGATAAAAAGCCTAATTAACCAGCAAGCATTATGCTAACTATTGCCAAACAGGCCAGATGTGCAGGATATTGTACACCCTGGTGCTGCCAGATAACGGCAGTGGTAGCAGCTCTGTCAGAACCCTGCTCAAACCCTGCCATTCCAGAGCTGATCTCTGGGACCCCGATCTCCAGGAGACACTGTCCTGCAGAGGAAAACTCAGATTTACTGTGCTGGATTCTGATTCTACTTTAAGAAAAATGTTCAGGGCTTTGAAAAAAATGTACTTTTAAAATACGATAGTTATTTAAATGCACCCACATGGAGAGAAAATCGATTTCATAATAATTTCATATGTAACGTTGTGATCATAGGCACCATTAATTTATGGCTATTTTGTGTAGCACATTATGTATATTCCAACATCCTCAGAGAATAAGCCATTGTTTACATCAGAGGTTGGATTAAGGAGGTTTGCAAAATCATGGAATAAAAAGGGGTTTCCCTATAATCGGAAGACAATAGTGCTTTCCACAGCTATATGAAAAGAGGTGGATAAAAGCTAATTGGTTCACTGCACTGGAACCAGAGACAAGATACTGCGGGGAGTGAGCTCTGCGTTCCTACAGCCGAACTTCCACGCCTGCTGCCCAGGCACATGGGTTTACATGCTGCTCTGGGAACCAGCCCCTGGAATAAACCAGAAATGCTGGGATTTGTGATCCTGTGTTCTTCTGGCATAATGTTGCTGCTGTGCCCATCACTCTGAAACTAGTGAAGGAAACAAGAAGGAAAAACAAAAAAACCCAAACAAACAAAAAGTCTTGACCTCCCAGTAAATTAGTATTTAACAATGAGGTTATTGTTTAAAGCATCTCAGTACTCGGGAATATGAAAATATTCAAATGCTGGGCTGTAGCTCGCATTCATCAGGATATACATTTACGGGAATGCTGGTTTAACTGAGGACTATGCAACTCAGAATCCCCAATCCTAGTGCCTCACAGGTTTGAAACAAATAATTTAACTGCAGTAGATATTTTTCCTGC